TTCAAAAATTGTTCTTTTCATCGACCCGAGCATGAACCGGATCACTTACTCCAAACAAACCTATTATATTAGTTTATTGTAAATATTTTGAACAATCATATTTTTATATATAGAGAACGAATATTTCAATATTAACATGAAAAATAATCATATTTATTTAATATTATATACCTTTTTTAAAAAAATGTTCTCTTATAATCTATAAATTAAAAATTAGAGACCGAGTAATTCAATCATTAATTATTGATACCGAATTAGAAATAATTATCTTATAAGACCGGGAAAAATTTATTAAAGGAATTTATCGATTTTTAGATATGTATAATTCATATATCATCAAATGAGGGTATTATATCTTTTTTAATAATTTTTTGGATCTCTAATATTATAAAAATTGGCTGACTTAAACCGATTAGATGAGTTGGTTCAGTAGTTGACAGTTAAACAATATGTTTTGAGTTTTGATATTCATTTTTATTTATAGATAGGGGTCATTAAATTACAAATAAACAAAATATAGAGACTAATTATAATCACTTAACAAACCACGACATTTTTTTTAACAAAAGAATTATTTCTTTTTTTTAGGGATATACCGATATTTCCCGAGCACCAACCAGAGTTATATTCGTGAACTGAATATTAATATTTTGCTCAATTATATTTTTGTGCATAGAAGACGAATATTTCAATATTAACATATAAATATTCATATTTAATATTTTATTCCTTTTTTTAAAATGGTTCTTTTCATCGTCCCGAGCACCGACCAGATAATTAACTTATATTATTTTATTGTGAATAACTGAATGTTAATATTTCGCTAAATTATATTTTTAAGCTTAAAGAACGAATATTTCAATATTAACAGAAAAATTCATATTTATTATTTATTTGATTCCTTTTTTGAGAATGGTTCCTTTCATTGATCCGAGCATGGACCAGAGCACCTACACCAAACAATATTAAATTATTGTGAGTGAATATTTTGCCCAATCATATTTTTATGCATAGAGAACGAAATATTAACAGAAAAATAATCATATATTTATTGTTGTTAATTTGCTTGGTTGAAACAGCTTATTTAAATAAAATAAAATATTTTCAGACTAAAAGGAGGTTGTTAGTGGTGCCTGCAAATAGGTATAACTGAGATCGCGTTTTAATAAATTGCAATGGGCTCAGGCCAAAAAAAATTGAATTTGCAGAGCTCCCTTAGGTAGAGTATAGTTACTTAACCATCTTCAAAACTTTTGTGGGGTTTATACTTTATTGGATACCTATTTTCAATTTATAAAAAAAAAATTCAGTTATAATATTGAGCGTTTCTTAAATTGCAATGGGCTCAGTGGGGAAGTCATGGTCTTCTTTCCAAAAAAATGGTAAATTCTATGGTCTAAAATGTTTTTTAAATTATACAATAGGATGCATGGATATATAATTAAATAAAAAATAGGTTATCTAATACCCTTCCCCTAATATTCTTATTATCACAATTTTCTTGACAAAAAAACTCCAATATTATACAGTTCTATTTAAATTAACATTAAAATATATATATTTGCAATAAGTTTAAAATAAATATTTGACAAATGTGAGTGAAAAAATCATTATTTCTTAAATAACCTAAAATATATTTTTAGAATTAATAGACCATTTTAAAATTTATAAGAACCAGAAAGTAACTCATAATATAACTGTAACTAATAACTAGTTACATTACTATAACTAGTTATATTTTTATAAATGTAACTAGTAACTGCAACTAGTTATATTTTTATCAATGTAACTAGTTATGTTTCAAAAGTAACTTTACACTTATTTTTATTAATATCCATCGATTCAAAAATTTTAACAAAGTTCTAAAAAAAGGATGTCTTTCAAGAATTATATTTATCGTCTATCTTTTTATTTACTTAATTTCTAAAATATTCCATTTTAAGGTATAAGATAAGTAAGTATTTTTTTTTCTTACAATAAAAGTTTTCGTCATCTATATTTTTTTATATAAAAACAAACGATTTTTTTGGGTTCAGTTTGGAGGGGGGGGGGGTTTAATTATTACTTTTTAGTTATTTATTTATATAGAAAATATAAAAAAAAAATTCAAAACGTTAGTAATGTAATGATTAATGACTTTATTATAATTATTTGAAAATTAATGGGGGGGGGGGGTGAATTAAGCCACTATAAACAATTTATTCAAGAAATATTTATGAATTTTATTTTTTTCGAATTTTTCAAAATTTATAACAATTTTTATATTTTTAGAGATCCAAAAAATTATTAAAAAAGATATAATACCCTCATTTGATGATATATGAATTATACATATCTAAAAATCAATAAATTTCTATAATAAATTTTTCCCGGTCTTAGAAGATAATTATTTCTAATTTGATATCAATTGATAAGGAATGGAATTACTCGGTCTCTAATTTTTAATTTATAGATTATAAGAGAACATTTTTTTTAAAAAAGGTATATGATATTAAATAAATATGATTATTTTTCATGTTAATATTGAAATATTCGTCCTCTATATATAAAAATATGATTGCGCAAAATATTTACAATAAACTAATATAATAGGTTTGCTTGGAGTAAGTGATCCGGTTCATGCTCGGGTCGATGAAAGGAACAATTTTTGAAAAAGGAATCTAATATTAAATATGAATATTTCTATGCTAATATTGAAATTTTCGTCCTCTATGCAAAATACAATTGAGCAAAATATTCACATTCAGTCACAATAAAATAATATAAGTTAGTGCTAGGGTCTATCATCTGGTCGGTACTCTCAAAAAACTTTAAAATTAACGATTATGACAATTGTCACTTATCCAGGGTACATATTGACTGAAGTTTTATTTAAATTTGTTTTCAATATTAATTATTTTAAATTTGCGACAAAAAAAATTCAAAAAACTTTAAAAATAACGATTATGCAATTGTCACTTATCTAGAAGGCATATCTTCCCTGAAATTTTATTTAAGCATGCTTAATAAATTATTTAGAAATTACAACTTCTTTTAATATACTTAAAAAATAATTTCAGAAAAATGATAAAAAAAAACTATAAAATATTTCATTCATCTAGATTGTTTATTTATATTAAAATTCACAAAAGAATTTCTCAAAAAAGATTTATTTACAAAATACAAAATTCTTATCAAATTAACAATTGCTTAAAATTTTGGGCATGAAAATCACAAATTTATTGTTAAAATGATATTATAATTACATTTTTTTATTAAAAAACATCAAACCATTTTCATAATATAATAAAAAATAATTAAAATTTCATTTCAATATTAAATAAATAAAAATATTAAATAATATCATGTTTTTATTTATATAAAATAAATCGGGTCAATGCAGTGCTCGGGTCTGTGCTGGGGTCGATCAGGTTGGCCAATTTGGTTGCTTTATTTTTGGTTCATTTTTTCGACCAAAAACCCAACCAAAATCATGTTAATTCGACCCAACCAAGCAATTTTACGACATTGGCCAATGGTATCAACCGAATACCTAGCAATCGATTTTTCAGTGTGTTTCAACAGAAATCCCTCAGCACTTAATTCGGCAGAAATTTTAAAAATATACATATATTCAGACATTGCTAACTTAATTTTATTCCACTTGTCACCGATACTCTTGGTGATTTTGGTGAGGAATTGCTCAAATTTAAAGCCAAATAAGGGGTGATCATAATGAAACCTTCTATTTAAAACAAGATCTTAAAATTGTTATTCATCAAAGTAATTGCATTGATATTCATAGTTTCATATAGCAAAGCAGGTTAACCGATCTCAATTGTTTTTTTAATTTAATTTATCCAGTTGTTTGTTTAAAATTTTTATACATATGCACTCTATTATTATAATCATTAATTTTTTTTTATATGACTTTTGTTTTAAATTTGTTTTTTAATAAAAACTCAATGAATAATAAAAAAAATATATAATTGTATTAGATATTTTAATGAAATTTTAGTAATGAATTTTAAATTTAATTGTATTAAATTTTGATATGTTACAAAAATTATAAAATTATACAAATAATAAAATTTCTAAGTTTTAAAAAGTATATAAATTTTGTAGATAAGATTAAAATGTAGTGTTAACATGTATAATTTAAAAAAATAGAATGTAGAACAATATTTAGCATTGTTTAAAAAAAATATTGGCTCAGGCTAATATTTTCAAAAAACCTTATTCAATCTCATATTATCAGTGTTTCTTGTTATTTTTGATTGTAATATATATAATTCATTTATATAATATTTTTTATTTACACCTAAATAATGATCATAAATTAACAAAAGGAGGCAAAATTCAATTTATTTGTAATGCTTTAAAAAAATCAAATAATTATAAAAGAAAGAGTAGATAAAGAAATGTTATACTATTTTTTTTTTGTTATATTATCTGTAACAAGAAACGTATTTAAAACTATTTAAGCAGTCATATTCTACCATAAACATTGCCCATAAATTAGTGTATAACCAAGATTTTAGCTAAAATAATATAGCCTAAGCCTTAAGTTTTTGCCATTAGATGGCTATTTTAAAAAATCGATTAAATCAAGCCACTTAACAATACTACCTATAACTTTTGGAAAATTTAATTAATCATTTGTGAAGTTTAGTTGATTTATTTGAATATAAAATGTTAATTTTTTTTATGACATTGGTTCAAAGCTAGATGTTAAATAAAATCAATCTAAATATAAGATCGGTATCAGTTTTGTACTAATATTTAATCTTCATCCCCATTATAGTTGGGTAATTATGATATTTTTAGCTGGCTAAAAATCTTCTAATCTAGTTTGGCTAAAAACTATCACTTTGGCCTTGGAGTTTTTTTATGAAAGAAATGAATTAAAATGCCTTCTCCAGCATGGGCCTGTAGGTTAAGCCAAATTAACCAACATTTAGTTATTACCCAACTATACTCCCAATCCTTAACAACATATATTTTGTATATCATGGCTTTACATTTGTATGAAGATGTTCATCTTTGCTAATTTGAATTGATTCTCCAGAATTATCAGAGTAAATGTGAGTGTGGCAATTATTGGAACTATCCATTGTGTTGAATGCTTTGATATAGTCATTAGCTTCACATTTTTCATCTTTTCTTTTATGTTTTCCAATTATTGACAATCTGGAATTTTCAAAATCTGACTTTCTAAACAAATTTTGTTCAATGGTATTTGTGTTATTATCGACCCCGTCTAAAAGGAAATTTTCACTATTTTTAATTGTGTTTTTGTTAATTTGCAAAACATCATTCTTAACTATATCTTGATCATTAAAATGCCATACATATAAGACTTTGTCGTCAGAAACATTAATAGCACTGTCCATCTTTTTATCATCTATGCAAATAGACTTATCAATTTGTAAATTTTGATGATTAGTAATGGCTTTGTCAATCTCATTCTCTTCATTTAATATTTCCATTTCTTCATACTATAAAGATTTATAAAAAGGAGCATTATATATATATAAATAAATTACAAAAAGTTGATAAGAATTAAATGATATATAACAGTAAAATAAATGAAAATTACTTTTATAATTTGATAGCAGCACAATATGTATAAAATAAATAAACTTTATTTAGTAAGATTAAAGTTTAAGATTTACTTGTTTTGATTGGAGACCTAAAGCTTCATCTGTTTTAATAGTAGAAATGACTGTATTGATTATGGCTTTTGGATGGTTAATGTCTAAAATATCATTATTATGATCTTCATATTCATTTGACAAATTTAAATTATGTTGGGAATAACTATTATTATATTTTAAAACTGAGGGTCTTTCATAGTTTCCCATATCATTTTGACTTGAAGAATTTAATATTTGTTTAGAGTGTTTCAAAGGTGAGATAAGGTTAGTAGCAAGGTCCACATTATTTGCATCAAGCTTTAAAATATTTAAAAACAAATTAATAATTTTAAAATATTTGAATGGTAAAATAAAAATCTTAAAAAGATTACTAAAATATTTAAATAATACATTAAAATTGGAATGAGATTGTTTAAATAGGTGTGATTTTAAATTTGAGCTGGTAGTAATACTGTTTAGATATAAATAATTGGCTTTAGAAAAATCCACTTTTACATCTTCCCAGTCTTTATAAAATTGTTGGGTGCACAAATTACATAATTTTGTGGAAAAGAAAATTAAACGTTCAATGCATTTTTGCAAGATTTGAAAAATTTTTGCATGTGCTTCTTGTTCGATTATAATCCTATTTAAAAAATCAGTTAAAAATATGTTTGATTCCTCAAAATATGGTATATCAGTTTTGTTATTATGTTCCATAATACTTCAATTGAAACGCGACAGATACCAATTTAGATAATAGATTAAGTCACGGAGTGCTTTGATGGAGATGTGTTAAATTTATGAAATATATTTTAAATAAAAAAGGTAAAAGGAGGATTAAAGGAAAGTATCAATTACAGGTTTGATGGACGCGGGTTAATATAATATTTAATTTTTTTAATCTGACATGTCATGTGATTATAGTTTTATAGAAATCTAAATAATATTGGAAATTTTCTTGAGTTGTATCTGTATTTGAGTATCTAATTTAAAAGGGAAATTCTAAAAATTTGAAAAGAACGATAAACAGAGGTTTGAAAATTCTATGAGGTTAGGAAATAGAGATTTCAGGATTTCTATCTGCAATATTTGTCGAGGGAGATATTTATCCTAATAAATATATATATAAAGTCTCTACTGGCTATTATGTTTGTTAATTTTAAAGGATTTCTAATACGTTTTAATATGTTTTTATTTAATTTGTTTATTTTATTATTTATTACTTGAATATTATAAAACTGTACTATTTTTACAACTACTTAAATATATCAATTTGTTCCCTATATAAAAGTTGTTAATTTAAATTTTTAAACGATATAAAGTAATAATAAAAGTTAATCTAAGGTGAAAATTGTAGTAAAGTAGCAAAGTAGTAATATGTTGAAATATTATCTACTATAATAATCCTCAAAAAACCTCAATCAAATTTAGCCAATAGTGTTCTTTTAAAAAAAATTTGTCCAATAAAAATGATTATAGGGTAATCGGTCCAATAGTACATGTAACAACCTTAACATTCATTCAATTTTATAACACATTTTACTATCTTCACCTCATAAGGTTTTTGTTATAGTTTATATAGTTAACCTACAGGAAACGTTAGGGGTAAAACAAATTTGTTATCAAAACTATTTTTAAAGTATACTTTGATAAAAATTTTGAATATTTTAATTTTTTTAAAACTTAAATTTGTCCAAAGTGTTGTTATTAATTTTGTGAAAATTTTAAGGATTTTATAAAACATTTTGGATGCAGCTTAAAATAAAATTTTAGTTAAATATTATTCAATTAATTTTTTGGATTTAAAGAAATGCTATTTGGAGAATATAATAATATTTCTTTAATAATAAAAATAAAATTTGGTATCTATTCTATCTCCAGTTTTGGAATAATAATAAAAATGATTATTTTAGAAAGGAACTATTAAATATACACATGAATTTCATATAAAACCTACACTTATCATAAAAAATTATTTAAATGCTTTTAAGATCTTCATAAATACTCTTTTAAACAAAGACCTCCTATCATAGAAAATCAAATATGAGGTCAACCTGATTGTGTCACAAAAACTCTGTGGTGGTATCCATTAGCTATTTAGAAGATTATTGGCAAGGGTCTTAATTTATTAGGTATACATAGCAATTAAGATTGATTGTTAAGGGAGAAGTTAAAAGAGTATTTTATGAAGTACTTAAAAGCATTTAAATAATTTTTATGATAACTGTAGGTTTTATATGAAATTCATGTGTTTTATATTTAATAGTTCCTTTTTAAAATAATCATTTTTATTATTATTCCAAAACTGGAGATAGAATAGATACCAAATTTTATTTTTATAATTTTATGAAATATTATTCTATTCTCCAAATAACTTTTCTTTAAATCCAAAAAATTTATTGAATAATAATTAACTAAAATTTTATTTTAAGCAGCGTCCAAAATGTTTTAAAAAAATCCTTAATTTTCACAAATTAATAACAACATTTTGAACACATTTAAGTTTTAAAAAAATTAAAATATTCAAAATTTTTTGATATGATTCAATTATTAGTTATTTATTAAAAGATATGTAAATATTTAATTGTATTTATTATTATATATTACCTTTCAGTTATTAAACTTTATATGAACTTATTATTTGATAATGGTATATTTAAATTTTATTTATATACCTAATAAATAAATATATATTGTAAAATAATTGTATCAATATTTAATAAACAGTTGGAAAACTAATAATATCTTTTATTTTGAAAGATAATTTTTCCATAAAATATATATAAATTATTATATTTGAGTTATATAATAAAATTATAATAGAAATGATAATATCTTTTAAGAGTAGGAATAGGAATATTTTTATTAATAGCTATAGGGTTTTCATTTTCTTTGTTGGCATTATTTTGATCTAGCTATTATTGAATAATAAATAACAAATAATAGTAACATAATGTACAGAATCATTAGACATAGGGATAGTAATTTCATTTAGGTATGATGCAGTTAATTTTATATACATATATAAAATAATACTGTTCCGAGATGTCAATTTTTAGATTCCTAAAATAAAAAACTATTTTATATTTTTGCCTTTTAATATTTTACATTTGTCTGTCAATTTTAAAATTGATTCAAAATATTTAGTAATAGCATCAATATTTTCTTTTAACCATATATATTGTTTGACATATAGTAGATCCTTATTTTCCAGCACCTTTTAATGTTACGATCTGAGTTATTGTAATATATTTATCATATGGTTTAAGAGAAAATTGACAGATATTCCAAGAGAAATTGCAGAGATAATTAGCTAATATTTTGAAGAATAAAATAAAGAATTAAATAATTTTGTAAAAATTGTCCACTTACTAATACTTCAATTACCATTAAATAATTCAATCTATTATAATATAGTGTTGTATATTTTCTCATAACTTCATAATTGTAGAATGTATGTTATTCATAACTTATTATAACATTTTTGATGAAATGTATAATTTTGTTTTACTTATATATAATTTGACTATGATTGTAGTTAACCTCCTATTATTTGATAACTTAAAATATCTTTAATTTTTTCTGTAATTTAATATCAATTTCTTAAATTTAATTTTATAATTTGTAACTAAATAATAAATCATTTGGAAAGGTGGTGGTTAAAATAATTAGGATGAACATATTTTCAGTATGGTACTTTAATTTGTATTCATGAATTTCATATAGGTAAATCAGATATTTCCCCTTCATTTGATGATAATTTTGAAAAATTTTTCCAATTAATATATACATAAATTAGACAGATTCAATTCTTATAAACCTCTTATATTTTTCAGGATCCAAGGAAAAAATTAATTATTCTGAGTTTTCCTGGGCTTGGGAAATATTTTTCACAATTAATTTGGACTTGGACGTAGCTTGCTAAACATTTTTCAAATTTTTAATTTTAAATATGGGCTAGAAATTTGCCTGAAAATTTCTTTTGAAGACATGACCAAGCCTAATCAAAAACCATGGCCCATGCAACTTTCATATTCTTATTGTATTTTTAAATGCATTGTGACTTTTTATATATTTTATTTCAGTTCTAAACTACCAAAATTATTATGATCTTTGGCAGGTTTGAGAAAATTTTCCCAAGTGAATGGACATGGCTTGGGAATTTTTTTAATATTAGGCGTGAAATATTTAACACAGAATATTTATATGACCCTCAGGTAAAAGCTAATTTAAATATTATTTTTATTCAAAAAAATAGTATTCACTCTTAGTCTAAATGGGTTGGCCTTGGTCTGAAGTAGTAGGGGTAAGCTGGAGATTTATCTATCTCCAGGTTTTGGAAAAATTTTAAAATTTACTATGGGTTGGCCAGGCTTGAGAAAAATTTTTATAAAATTATTATGAGTTGGACTGGGCTTGGAAAATTTTTATAAATTATATTGGGCTGGGCTTGAACGTTTGAAAATTTTTTTATTATTAACTATGCGTTAGACATTGGCCAAAAACAAGTTATTTTGCAGGCCAGGGCTCGGCCTGATCAAAAAACCAAGGCCCATGAAAATCTGATTTTTATTGTATTTTTAAATTCATTATGATCATTTAAATGTTTTATTTCAGTTCTCAACTACCAAAATTATTATGATCTTTTGTTCAGTTTGGATGAATTTTCAAAATTATTATGGCTTTGTACTTTACCTGGGAATTTTTTTTAATATTAAATATTATGTATCAATGATCAGTAAATTTAACATATTGGTATTATCAAGTAAAAGCTTTAAATTTATTCTTACTCAAACCATAGTATTTAGTTTAATAGATTGAACCTGGCCTGAAGGGGGGAGGGGGTAAAAAGAATAAAAATGGATATAATTTTCAAATAACAGGTAACATCTAGCATAAATATCAGAAGAAAATTCTCATTCCCTGTCATTTTTGACGGACTATCTACTAGTATTTATATATTATGTGTTATATTCGTCAATTAAGTATGATCATATATATATTTATTATTAATATAATAATGTGTAGAGTAACCTAACAGATATCAACAGCATAAATCATTATGTGATTTCTGATAAATATTGTAGATGAAGCCCGTATCAGTAACGTCGCAGGGGGGGGGGCGCAGGGGCTAGAGCCCCCTGAAAAATTTGAATAGCCTCCTGAAGCAAAATTTTTTTTTTAATGACTCCTTAATATCCCCTTGTAAAAATAATTTTTTTTAATTGCTCCCTGAACAATTTCTTTTATAGTTCTATTGAGAAATATATAGTAATTTTAATATTTAAAAATTAATAAGACTATCTAAATTTTTATTTAATGAATACTATTTTAATTATTAGATTAGATTAATATATATTTGACGCTGTGCCGTATCTTAATGACCTTCCTAACGAATTGAACTGTCCTTTTCAGGAATTAATTTATTTTACTTTTATTCTTCTTTAAATAAACTGACACCGAAAATTTAATTAGTCTATTTATTTTTTTCTTAAACAAAAATTATGTTTTTTAACATTATTATAAAAATTAAAATTATAATTTAAAAAAAATTAAAAATTATTCAAAAATTTAAATATATATAAATTACAAATTATATTTTCCAACAAAAAAAATATATCCTCTACTCACCATGAGTCTTCTCTTTTTTGAAACAAATTATTCCGCGTATGTTATAATATTAATCCGCGCAAATAAAAATATACAATAATTTCACGAAAAAAAAATAAACAACAAAAATAATATTATAATACCTACATCCTTCCCCACTCCAAAGTTCCTTATTAGAGAGGGCGTAAGGGTCTGTTAGTCTCCAAATAACTCGTGTAACTCCC